CTCCGGTGTACCTGCAAGTGATTGTCTTAGACATCCTGTAACACAAGCTGTATATGGTGCATCCTCGCTATTGCTTTCTATTTACATGACAGTTGCACAGTGCTTCAGCTGGCATGTACGGTTGCAGCAATCTGTTCTGCACACAAGGCTCAAAATACCACCGCACACAACCGCATCAAGCCAACTTGTATCGTAACATCACATCCGTGAGTGCGCGAACACTTTCTCAGTGTGTGTATTGTGCTTACTGTGGTTGTGTCCCAACTAGCGGCTCGGCTGAAGGAAGGAGAAAGCCGAGTGGACCCGATAGGCTCAAGGTCCCAAGGTTTTAGATATTACACGTATGACGTGAGACAACTCCAGCTTCAAATTGGAGCACAGCTCCAGAACGCCATCGTCCATGAGCCGAAGCTACAGCGAAGGCTGTGCATGGTTCATGTTCCGGATCTAGAAGCCAAGCGGTCTCAAAATCGACGCCGTTGCGAAGAGGGATGAAAACGGTAGGGCAAGGGTCCAGAGTCTCGACAGACTGTGAGTCTAGCTAATTGCAAGTCATTCAGTCCCTGCGCAGACGACGGATGTGAGCCGGATGCTGATGCCAGGGCAGAGCCACTGCACATCGAACATCTTGGTTTAAAGCTGAATCTGTGCTTCGGCGCTGTCGTTGCAGTGAGGCCAGTGCACACATGTGAATCTGCGGGAGCTGGAGCAGGCCGTGACGGCGTGATGTTACAGTTATCGTGCCGGGATCGCGTCTAGCTGCATCATCAGGCGGAGTTTGTGACACAAATTCGCCACGGCCTCGCATTTCGCGGGTGGACTGCACATGCACAGTTGTGGCTGTGATGCGGCTTTGGTTCACGATTTTCAGGTGAAAACCTGCCTACGGTCCCGCAGGCTGGTGTCAAGTTCGATGGATCACCAGCCTTGCTTGATACAGAAAGGAGCACGCAACGACAACAAAACAACACACAGACACATACCGACAGCAGTCAGTTGAAGAAAGAGCAGAGTGCGTCCGGAGATGCCTGCCTAAGAGTCTTGCCGTGAAGAATCGTGTGACCCCCTGGTTTGCGAACGTGTGCGCTGCACTTATGTCGATCCAGGCACCATCTGAGAAGCGATGAGTGTGGTACAAACATCGAACTTCCTGGCCTGCTATATGATGAGCCTCTCCGGTCTTGTTCCGAAGAGCTTACGAAGCTCGACAGCCAAACATGAGTGTGGCTCAGAACTGCCATGGAGTGCGACATCCTTGGTACTTGTGTGGTAAGTCAGGTGACGCTGCTGAACCTGAGTACTGATGTCAAAAGATCAATCTAGTAGCCTATGGCTGAGAACAGAAAAGCCTAGCAATTTCCAGCACGACCAAGAAGTGACTTGGGACGTTGGGCTGCAAAGCTCTGCGAAGCACTTCAGGCTGATAAACCCAATCTGCATCTAGGCCTGGGGCGGCCTGGGGCCTCGTTCCGGTGCAAGGCACTTTCAAAGACCTTGCCTAAGTCTCAATTACACAAGGGGCCGCTGCCTTCATAAAGCACGCTGGAACTTGTTTCATTACTGCAGACTTTGAGAGAGAAGAAGTGAGTAATTGAGAACAGTTTGTGAAGTTTTGACAGCAAGCATCACAGGCAGCACATGCAGCACCACATGTAGCACATGTACCGGTATTATGACAATGGAGAGCCTAGCCTGGTAGAAACTGAACTGCAAAGTGAAGACAAACGTTTTCTTCTAGATGTGTTATAGCCAGTGTGCAGGCTGCATCCTTCAAATTCATGCCAGGTGAGCAACTGGTTTCAAGGCGGCTTCAGCATTGCTTCCAGTCTTGAGGGGCGAGAAGTCCTGGACAGCTGCAGGAACTTCTCGACCTGTGGCCAGCCATCCACAGCGAAATCCAGGTTGTTGGTTGTCACGGTTTGCCTGTGCCCTAGGCCCCTAGGCCCCTTACAGGATGCCCTGTTACTAGGAGCCGGAGCTGCGGCTGCGCAGCCTCAAGAAGCTGCTAGCTGGGTCTTCACCTCGGCTAGAAGGGGCTTGTGCAGAGTCTGCATTGCAAGAGCCGGTGCTGCACGGCTTGCAAGGCTGGCTTCGCATTTCAGCCGACGAGAGGTGACTCGGCAGGCAGAGAGAGAGAGCGAGAGAGAGAGAGAAAGCGCGCCAGTTCTGTTCTGCACGGGCAGGTGCCGCCGGCTCTCGAGCAGGCTCACAGCCCGCGCCGGCCGCGACTGGGACCATTGCAGGGGCCCACCGCTCACGCCACCCAGCACAGTTTGCGAGTTCCTGTTTAGGCGACTTGGCCGTCAATTACCTCATGGCTGCCAGATATGCAGAGCACAAGACAGCCAAGCCTAGGCCAGCTTCTGGCTACCAGTGTTTCTGAACCCAGCGGGCACTGCTTCTGTACGACGAGAGGACGGACGAGCTCGTCTTCGAGTGGGCAACAGCTGCGGGCTCAGGCTGCGACAGAAGCCGTGGAACAACACCTGCCCAACTGAGGGTGTGTGTTTGGCCCGCTGCGACGCAGCCCTATGTGCGTGGTGCTGCTTCGCCACAACAAGGTCGGGACACCAGAAGGATTTTGGGAGGCACTAGACTCCGGAACTGCCTCAGGAGGACGCAACCCGGCAGCCGAAACACAGGCTGCTGCTACCAGTGCAGGCAAGTGCTTGTTTGCGCAGTCAGGTCAGGGTGGTTGTTTTCTCGTGATTCTCGTAGTTTGCCTGCTGTTCACGTGATGTCCGTGTTCCTGCACAGAAAAGTTGGTGCAATCATTGGCAAGCACAAGAACTTGCAATGTTTGTCCCTGCCCTTCACTTAGAGGCGGCTGGTCTAATTGGCAATTCGGTGCAGCTCAATCGTGACCCAGCCGGTCTGTGTATCTGTGTAATGTGTAGATCTCAGAACCTTTCTGCTTCGTGAATCTGTTGACAGGTACTCACAGGGCTCGCCATCTCATGGTGCCTGGCGTCTGCCTCCGACCATCAATGCGCTTGGTCCAGGAGGCGGTTCGTGTGTTTGGGCACCAGAATACACTGACCGGTTTCCACATGATTCTGCAGGAAGTCAGCGTCGCACGTGATGTACAGACCGGCCGAAAAGCGCTTCGACGGAGGCAAAGCCTACGACTCCAGGCGAAGCGTGAAAAGGCGATGCCTTGCAATGCCACCTTCGGGGCTCACCGGATCGTCATTTCGCCCGCTACCGGGCGGGACAATAACTGCGGTGCATTGTACGTGCATTTGAAGACGAGGCATTCCCAGACGGTTCACCACAGACGTCCTAATACCCTGCCATGTTCGCTATAAAATTACGTACGCCGCCAGAGCCGGGCTTGAGACGACGTCTCAGAGACGCGCTTGCACTCCTAAACGAGCTCGCCGTCTGCTCGTGTGGTGCAACAAACATAAATAACATAAACAGTGGCATGACATGCATCGATTACTATTGGTTCATGCCAAAGGAGTCGTGCCTTCAGAAACTCCGGCTTTTGGCATCGTAACTTGTGGAGAATTTGCCCACAACAAACCCTCCAACTGTAGCTGCGCTATGTGATGGAGTCAAAGAGACAGCACGACCATTGGTAGCAAGGTAGCGCCTGTGGTTCTATGCCAGTCTTCCCAGATATTCCCAGATGCCGCGCAACGCCACTTTGATGCACGGCTCACAAGAGCCATTCGTAGTGCGTGTCGATGGCATGCGGTTCAAGCGCCAAGATCACCATATTACGGTGAGCCGTTGCCTCTTGTGCTCAGCGAGGTGTTGCTTACGTTTTTGCAGACCCGCTTGCTGGGTGTCGAGCCACGTACGGTGGAAGCAGCGTTTGCCGAGTTGATGCGTCGGCAGCATGACGTCTGCAAGGGGGGCCCGCAGCTTTTGCTCGTCCGACAGATGATATCCCCGCGGTGCTTCTTGAAACCCACATCAATACTTCATCTGAAAGGGCATCCGTTCCCGAGGCTTGCCTGGCTTGCTATGACCTAGTTTGGCTCGCCCGGCACATAAGCGCTCTGAGCGTGCCACAGTGAGCCGGGTGACTCGGGCGAGCGGGCCAAGCGGTGCACCTGGAGCCTATCATGATCAGCTTTCTTTGGTGCCGGAAGGCCTCGGTGTGTTCACATGCACCTGGCGCTGGATTCAGTCGGTCCTTACGGCAACAGATTTCAACATACCTTGCATCTTCGCATTCTTTCTGCCGGCACGCTCCCACGGCGTGAGACTGGGGGCGCCGAGTGGGCTGATGCAGCACACAGTGCTGCAATTTCGTCACGGTGGCCAGTGTGCTTATATGCTTAGAGCGAGATACACGCACATGTCGAATCTTGTGCAGCAGAGCAACAAAATTGTTAACACGTTGGCCTCGAGTTGGACCCCAACCTTGCAATGCAGGTTGCATGTGTGCCACGTGATGCAATTCATTCATGAATTCTTTCGGCCTGCCGAAGGTCCTGCCGTCGCAGGTGCCAGCTCTTTGGATTCAGTCCAATTTGCCAAGCATATTCAGAGCTGATTGAAATGTCCGTGTTTGTAAGCTCTGCAGACGGGAATGCTGCCGCACAGCTGCGGGCATATGCCACAGCCCCCCACCCGCCACGCCAGGCATTGTTCTTGTGGCGGCAATCATGGCGCAGAGCAGGCAAACTCGGCCAGTGTGGCATCGCCGTCGTGGTCAACGTCTGGTGGATGCCTCTCGTAAGCTGCGCGTGGCAACAGGCCTGCACTCCAGCGTTTCCGACAATCGGGAAATGCACCGGCCCCGATGCGCTCGGCATTTTCCGCTCTGTCTAGCCGCCGAAGCATGTGAGATGTGAACAGTTTATGATTTTAACGTGGCTGTCTGAACAGGAATCTACATATCGTTTCTGTATCTATGATGTGCCAGATGTGTTGTTCCGTGTCTCACTGATTTGGTTTTGAGTTGTTCACCAGTTACGGAAGCACTGAGTGAGATCGTGTTTTCGCATTTTCCGTAGTTTTGAGGAGTCAGATTGGCATGGTGTGGCCAGGGAGCAGGGTGTGCACAAGCTTTTCCTGCAGTTTTTCTCGGCCCCGCCTGCACCTGTTCGCGCCTTTGTTGTGAGTCGCCGAGACTCATCGTTTGGCAGTTCTCATCGGCCGTTGGGCTTCCTTCGGAATTAGCCCTTCGCATAAACATGTTTGTGAAGCAGAAACAAATCCGAAAAATGTACCAAGGTCACCTCTTCAGAGTTCGAGTGCGAATGCATGGCACTCCCGCAAGGATGACACGCACAAATCGGCGCGAACTTGGCTCAAGGGTCAAAAGCCAAAAAAGTCGAGTGTTATGGTTGTGAGTTTTGGGGGATGTGATTGAAAGGAGTGCGGGTTGAGTTATGATGCTTTGGATGATGTTCCTTGGCAAGTCCAGAACACGAACAAATCTGATGGCTGAGAATTTTGTTTCTGTTGCGAGGCGAGGTTGCACAGATTGGACGTTAGCAACGAGAGCTAGATGTTGGATGGGGGTCAGCAATGGGATACATCCAACAGAAGGCCTGCAGAAGTCATGGCACGATGATCTGCTGTAGAGCGAAATGCATTGCAGTTACGCCAGCGTGAGGAAACAGTCACGAAGCTACGGCAGCATGAGGGGACAATTTCGAGGCAACTGTCTGCTATGCCGGGGAGTCGGGTGAGTGATCACGGCATGAACACCTCACTGCCAGAACATGCGAGGGAGGAAGCATCAGAGCAAGATGGTAGACAAGCTCCCGTAATGCAGAACCCCGTACAACACACCATGAGCAGCAACACATCACTGCGGCGGCATCAGGCTCCAGCAGAAGATGAGTGGTGGAATGATGAGGCCATTCAGGCCCCGGGATGGGAGCAGCCTGGTTTAAAAATCTTGTCTGACCCACCAATGCTTTCAGAACATGTGCGACGGCCGACTAACGCTGTAGAGATCAAGGCTGGGCAGTGGAAGTTGCCACAAGATGTGCCATCGCTGAATGTGTCCTTTGGTGGTTTGCCGCTGCAACAATGGATCTCCGAGTTTACCACCGTTGCATCTTGTGACCGTCCGAAACGGCTCAAAGCCGGTATGATGCCAGACAAACACAGCTGAAACCAGAGGACATTGAGGAGTCTCCGCGAGTGCCATCGCGTTGTGAGGATATTGAGAATCGTTGTCGCTCACTCTGATGCGAGTACGTCCAAAACAACTTCGCAAGCCAGTCATGGAGAGTGCAGGACGGCGAGTTTCATCAGTTCGGATGCTTGAGGGCGTGTGTCAAGGATTCATTCCATGAGGAGTGGAAGAAAAGGTGACTATATGGGTTTCTACGAGCACTGCCTGGTGCATCTGGATTTAAGGATTTGTTGGCCGCCGTGCTTCGCATGAAACTAGCAACAACACGGGCACGGGGCACAGCTCGCCGTCGATGCCACCCTCGTTAGCCCTGTGACACGCGATGGACGACCGCAGGATGGCAGGCGCGAAACATTCGAGCCAAAATCGAGAAGGCAACCGAGGACGAGAGCAACTTTCTCACTAGTTCGGTGCCGGTCAGCGCGCCAGGTGGAAAACAGCTATGCTCAGGCTCAGGCTCAGGCTCGAACACTGCAGCAACAGCCAAGGGGAACGCCAAAGCAAAGACGGCAAAGGGGGGCAAGCAGAGCGAGAAACCCGGGGGGTATCGAGCAAGTGCCGGAAGGATACCATGGAGACATGGGCTGCAGTGCCCCCCTCCATCGAACAGGTTTTGGGAACTGCGCAGGCTGTTATGCTAGACTGCAGAAACATGCATGACGGCAACGAGGGGAACGCCCGTGCGCAGGAACCGAGTTACAAGGTTCTTGCAGCCCGTTGCATCTGCTGAATGAGCGGAAGCAGGAGCTAGCAAGCGAGTGCCGCCTGCAGCCAGAAAATCGCCGACTTGCTGCGGCATGACGAGTGGTTCTAGGAGCAGTTCTACCCGGTGCACTGCTTGCAAACATTCGGACAAATGTCCTACGTGCGGAACACACTCCTGGAACTGCAGGGCACGGCCAGTGGGACGGTGATGTTGGCGGACCAACACCGGACTTTTGTGGAGGCCGCGAAGGCCATCGCAAAAGTCCGGCAGTCGTGAGGGCGTCAATTGGAGGGCGACCGTGAATGCCTTGCGGAAAGGAACAGAAGGCACGCCAAAAAGGCGGCAGACGCTAAAGACAAAGGCCAAGGCGGCAGCTGCTGCGCAGGAAAGTGGCGGCGAGGCGACGGCCGATCCTGCCGCTGCGGACAACAAGGAGAAAAAAAAGAAGAAACCCTACATGAAAAGAACGTCCGCGGCTGCGGAGGTTGTGGATACAGACCCGGCAATTCTTCGGTCTTTGGTTACCCCCGACTGGCCACGGGACGCCGTTGTGCCTTTGTTCGAAAACGCAGCGGAGCCCGCCCAGCACATCTGCAAGGCACTTGCTGCCGTGGCTCGCCACCGACGAACATCGCTCAAACATCAATCTTGAGGTCGCCGGCTTAGCTTACCTGAGGTAGACCGAGACTGCCAGCAGTCTGCTTTTGTTGGCTGTGGGCATCCATGTGAGGCGAGCCCTGGCATGGATGCTGCCACGTCCAAAGCAGCGCCCAGGAAGCTAGGTCAGGAGCTAGCCACCTTTGCGGCAGATGTCGAGTCCAAGATCGCTGGGTCGACGTCAGCAACACCGCCCACGAACCAGACCCGCATGCTAGAAACACCGGCTGTTGTGCTGGGGCTGGATGCTCCGGTGCAACGGGCCAGCGATGAATCGATGACGGGCACTCTCCAGTTGACGTGGCTACACGGTGCTGGGCCTAAGTCGTTGGACCTGACAAACGTAGGATTAAGAGGGGCAGCGGATTCGCAGAGCGGGCGAACACTGATCAGGTTTGCCGAGTTGGGCGAGAATGAGGAGATGCAGAAGAAGAATGCCTTGCGGTTGTCGGGCGTGGGCGCAGTTGCCTTTGGACAGGGTTTTGGCCCAATGGGGCTTGCAGCCATCTCTTATCACATCCTCCACGAGCGACTAGACCATAATGACGAATGTGCAGGGTCCAGGCTCAAGTCGGTTAGGGGTTGGTGTAGTTTCGGGCGGGGTATATAA